CACCAACAGTTCAGGAGCGTTCCCTTTTCTCCACACCCTCTCCAGCATTTATTGTTTCTAGATTTTTTGATGATAAGCCTTCAGTTTTAAGTGTTCAATAAATACTATTCTTCTATAAAGTGCTTGCATTCTAAACTCCAATAAACCCTCTGATAAAGAAGTACTGTTCTAATATGAAAATCTGTAGGTAAGAAAATGAACTCCCCACCCCCTCCCAGAGCCGATTGAGCCCTATCAGAAGGCCAAGAAATTAAAAGATGTTGGATTGGGACTTCCCTGGTGGCGCAGTGGTTAAGACTCCTCGCTCCCAATGCAGGGCGTCCGGATTTGATCCCTGAGATCCCACATGCATGCCGCAACTAAGAGTTTGCAAGCCGTAACAAAGGAGCCCACTTGCCAAAACTAAGACCCGGCACAACCAAATAAATAAATAATAAATATTAAAATAAAATATGTTGGATTGACCCAGGCTTTATAGCAAATATCCTACACTAGGACCTAGAAGTGAAACTTTCAAAAATCCAGAAGGATGATCAGTTTCATAGTATTTAGACATGTCATGATGTACAACCAAAGTTACATGAAATATATTTGAGATGCTTTCTGCTCAAACTATTCAATGGTTCTTCATAACTGGGTAACTTCCTTGGCCTTTTTTTGTTTTGCCTAGACTGTTTCTGGGTGACCCAGCATTTCTGATGGTTTCCATTGCTTTAAGGGCTTATGTTCAGCTAAGATCCCTTTCCTGAGTTCTAGGCCCACGTGTCTGAGATTTGAGTTCAGGTGGGCATTATCGGTTTCCATTCCCATTCCGCTCTTCCTCTTGTATCTTGTGCCTTACTAAATGTGAACTCCATCCACCTGGCAGCTCAAGTCAGGTAGCTGAGCACCTTGCTTAATCCTCCCTCTCCTTCAACCCTCACACCTAATCAGTTCTTAAAGCCTTGGATTCTGCTCCCTTAACATCACTCAAACACACCGACTCTCGGTTCCTACTGCTACCTGAGCTCAGGCACTCATCATTTCTCCATAGATGGAGAACAGCCTCCCAGCTGGTCTTCCCTTCCCAATCCATTCTTCACAGCCGGAAAGACCATTCTAAAAGGCAGCGTTGATCACATGATTCCCTTGCCTCAAATGTCCTAGGTTGAAATAAAAGTTCCTTGTGACCTACTTCCTGCCCATCTCTACAAGCTCATCTTTGGCTTTTTCTTCTCCCATCCTCTGCACCAGAGCTCTGGGAGACCTCAATGTTTACTCTGCATTTCTCCATGCTTTTGTACCCACTAGTACTTGCTCTACTCTTCCTAACATCCTTCTGCTTAATTTCTGCTTACCTTTCAAAATCCATCTTCCTCCAGGAAGTTTCTTCAAGTTGCCTTCAGGTTAATCACCCCTTCAGTGTATTACAGCAGACACGGTCTTAAAATTTACATGGTATTGTAACCTCACTCACCTCTCTTTCCCACTGAACTGAGAGCTCCTTGAAAGCTGAGACTGGTTTTTCAGCGCTCAGTTCCTGGAGCTGTTAAAAGAGTCTGGCCTCAAAAAGAGTTCTGTCGACTGACTAAGTGAAATAGTCTAGAGTGAGGTTATATGTTCTTGTGCAACTTCTTGCTGGAAGCCAGGCTAAATTAAGGCTTCACAGAAGTAGACACTACTGAAGTAGAAAAATTTGTTCAAGGAAGACAGAGTCAGATTTTTAAGATACTGGTCATTTAGGCTCGATTGTTGGAATGTGTGTTTCATGAAGACAAAGGGGAGAGTTTTGGCAATTGCCAACTTCTCAATAGCCTCTAGGGACAAAGACAGTTATGTAGGAGACAGCCTGACCCTGTGCACCTGCAGACAGATGCTAACAAGTGAGCCCAGGCACGTACTTAGGGATCTAACCATCCCCACAAGCAAGTTTAGAAGCTTCCATTGGGTTTCTTGCCAATAAACAAAAAAGAAAAGGTCTTTCTTCCATTGTTTTAGTTCTGCAAATTCTTTTTTTTAAAGCATTTAAAAATTTTTACTTATTTATTTTCTTTATATTTTTGGCTGCTTCGGATCTTAGTTGCAGCTCGAGGGGTCTTCGTTGAGACACGCAAGATCTTTTCATTGCGGCGTGGACTCTGTTGTGGCGTGCAGGCTTCTCTCTAGTTGTGACAAGCGGGTTTTCTCTCTCTAGTTGTGACTCGTGGGTTCCAGAGTGCGTGGGCTTTATAGTTTGCGGCACGTGGGCTCTCTCGTTGAGGCGTGCAAGCTCAGTAGTTGTGGTGTGCAGGCTTAGTTGCCCTGTAGCACGTGGGATCTTAGTTTCCTGACCAGGGATCGAACCCACATCCCCTGAATTGGAAGGTGGATTCTTTACCACTGTGAAGTCCCTAGCTCTGAAAATTCTTAATTTGAAAATACATAGTAAGCCATTATAGGCCTTATCAAACTTATACCTCAATTAGATATATTTTTTAGATATATTTTTTAAAGTTTTGAAAAGGAACTTCACCCCTGCCTTTGAAATATGGCCACGTTGTGGGTTACACAAACAACTTCAGTGTCATTACCTCCACATCTGCCCGTGCTCTGCTGAAAAGCTGTCTCTGTGGGTCCTATCTGCTTTGTTTTCTACCCAGCCCTCTCCAGCCCACACTGTATCTGTTGAACTAGGAATGTCATCTCTGCTTTTAACCATCAGCCTGTCCTAATGGTGGAAAACCCTGAAAACAGCCTGTACTCAAGGAAGGCTTGGCTTTTGGCTTCACAGTCCGGTGGAAACCTAAACCCGCAACTTGGGAACCAGTGAGGGCACAAGCCACTTATTGATTTTGTAATCAAGAGGAGAATAGGATAGAGGTGCTACATTAAAATGTTGTGTTGGCTTTGTAAATAAACAGCTCTACCACCCTAGCAGGTCCGAGGTTCAAAGCTGGCCCTGGGGATAGGAGTTATGAGTATCACCAAACCAGCCATGTAATGACTTGCTGGGTGACTCTCAGCCACCCTTCCAACATTGTCTCTAGGAAAATTGTGCTTATCAGAAAATGCGATTCTGTTGCTTATGTTTTTCATCCTAAAGTAGAACTTAGCAACCTTTTAAGGCTTCCAAAGTTGAGTGTGAATAGGTATGCTTTGATTAGAAACGCTAAATCACAGTTTAAGAAACTCCAATGCACTAAAAAGAAAATCAAATCGAGTAGGTTTTATATACCACATCTTCTTTATCCATTCATCTGTTGCTGGACACTTAGGTTGCTTCCATGTCTTGGCCATTGTAAATAGTGCTGCTATGAACACTGGGGTGCGTGTATTTTTTCAAATTAGCGTTTTCTCTGGATATATATATATATATATAATGGAACGTTATTCAGCCATAAAACGGAATGAAATAATGTCATTTGCAACAACATGGATGGACCTAGAGATTATCACATTAAGTGAAGTAAGTCAGACAGAGAAAGCGAAATATCATATGATATCACTTATATGTGGACTCTTAAAAATGATATAAATGAACTTATTTACAAAACAGAAATAGACTCACAGACATAGAAAACAAACTTATGGTTACCAGAGGGGATAGCGGGGGGTGGGGGGGGGGTAGATAAACTAGGAGTTTGGGATTAGCAGATACACACTACTGTATATAAAGTTGGTAAACAACAAGGACCTATTGTATCACATAGGGAACAATATTCAATGTCTTGTAAAAATCTATATTGGAAAAGAACCTAAATATATATATAAATAACCGAATCACTTTGCTGTACACCTGAAGCTAACCCAACATTGTAAATTAACTACACTTCGGTTTAAAAAACTGTTTTAAAAATTGAGCATGTTTTCCCTCAAAGTTGCCATGCCTCCTGCCAGCCTTCTTTGGGTCAGTTGCCCCCCCCCCCACTCTTTCCATCACTGACACTCAAGAACTTGGAGATGGCTTTCTATTTCTCCCACTCCAGTGTCCTCCCACTGGTCATGCAATAGCCAAGATGTATACATTTTACTTTCACTACACCTTTCCTCTCACCTCTTTCTCTGACTTCGTCCACCACCCTCTGAGCTCTGGCTCACCTGATAGATTAATCTTGCTTAGATTAGTAAAATAAGATTCTGGTGTTCTCACCGCCAACCCACCCAACACCACTGCTCATTTTCCAGAAACATGTCTTGAATCATGTCATTCCCCTGCTCAGAAATGTTCAAGGGAGCCCCACTACTTCCTAAATCAGTTCTACAACCCCAGACTTTCCACCTACATTTTCTGCTCTATATTTTGTTATTTCAACTGTAGATACACGTTTGCTATTCTTTCCACACACAGTCCTGCATCCACCTGCGCTCGTACTGTTTCACCCAAGCTACCTGGTTCGAGGGCGGGTTCCATCATTTACTAGCTTTGTGCTTCTGTTTCCTCACTTATAATGTGAGGATCATAATAGCACCTACTTCATAGGGTTTTGTGCTGATTACTTGAAGAAATCCATACAAAAGGCCTTAGAGGAGCCCAAGCACCAGGTAAGTATTCAGTAACTGGTAGTGATCATTATTATTATCATCATTCCTTTCAAGGACCATTTCAAATCCACCTCTTTAGAGAAGGCTTTTTTAATTGCCCAATTCAATGTTATTTTTTCCTTCTTTTTGTACTTCTCTGAATAGGATTTGACACAGAATGCCCTGCCGTAGAATAGTGTGTGCGCTTATCGTGGCCTGCCTGGACTGTACAGTTACTGAGGTTGAGGAAATTTTGTTCATCATTGTATTCGCTGAAGGACCTTCTACAGCACCTGGCACATCAGAAGGACTTAATAAATACTGGCTAAATTGAAATAAATTGATTTTCCTATTTTTAAAACTCTGTTCCACAAGCTGAGAAAAAATAGCACATAAAGATAAGCAAATGAAATGAGCACCTTGATAACAAGGATGTTACTGGTGAAAGACACTGAGATTGATGTCATTAGAATGCACGGCTTTCCTTGATAACAACCTTTCCTCCCTGTTCTCCATTGCAGGTCTGCTTAGTGGCCTATCTTGGTTTGTTTATGCTTTGTGTCTCCTATCAAGTTGACGAACGGACTTGTATCCAGTTTGCCATGAAAGTAAGTTGTCCTTTTTCTTTCTCTTTTATCATCACATAGAAGGAAACACAAGTACAAAATTAAGGAGGACTTTTTAAGGGGTTGTATATCTGATTATTCTAGAAATTGCATTTTTAGACAGGCCAAAAAATGTTTTAGGAGGGCATTCATCCAGACCCCAAAGGTAATGCTGATTTTTTTTTTGTCTTAATTTCCATGAACTGGATTGGCACAGAGCATATGAAGTGTCCTCCAATGCCCTTAAAAGGAAAATTGAAAACTCATCAGTTCAGCGAAACACTTGGCCAGGGAAAAAGTGTCTATATCAGTGCTCACTTCCCCATCTTGGGGGTTTTTTTTTTAGAATGTTTTAATAATGAAGCAGTCTAAGTGTATTTCCCTTGGTAGGTGGGATCACCGAGACAGAAAAGGTACATTGGGTGCATTCAAATGACCTGTGCTAAGAATCTGAGCGCAAAGGCAGGAGGTTGGGGTATGCTTGGTTTAGCAAGTGTGTGTGCCTTAACGAGGGCCTTTTTTTTTTTAGAGACACTGTGTTTGGTTGGAGCCAATTCAAGTACACAGCATTTTCACTGCACAGTAGAATCTGCTCCAAAGGGAAACACAGACACACCCTTTCAGAGTTTAGGGAGATAAACAGCCCACTCAGAAATCAGTTGGTAGAAATCAAATTCCTACATTTTCTTTCAACTCCTGTAGCAGAGAACAAAAAGCTTTCTGTAATGTTGGTTTGGTTTTGTTTTGGTTTGGGGGTCCAGTCACATTGTTTACTTTTCTTCTATAAGAAAACACAGAAAAACTGGATACTCCTTTGTAAGATGTTAGTATATTCTAGTATATTGATATAAAAGCGACTGACATAAAAAAGCAATGTGCTCATATATACATATATATATTTAAGTCATGTCGTGAAAGAGTAATTAGTGAATAAAATATTCAAATTATTTTAACTAGCAAAAAGAAACTGGCTACACAAAAATGTATGCTATGATCCTACGGAGATTAAATAAATAGCTCTTATATGCACAGAAAAAATAGTTTCTCTGAGTGGTGGGATTATACCTACATTGTGTAGTTTTTTTCTTCAATTTTGAGATGTTCTCCAATAGTTAGATGTAACTCTTCTAATTTAAAAATTTAATGGATGCTATTTTAAAAATTGATAGAGTTATAATTTTGGTGGATATGCCCCACCCACCCACCTTGGAAATTTTACTTTTTCTGTCTGAGGGTGTCCCTTAAAAGAAGGCCAGATAGAGCAGACATCAGTCCATGTTTACTTTTTTGGTAGAAGTCTGAATAAACTACAAGGCTTAGTGATGATTTTGTTTTTTAAAGCCTAGTAAGAAATTATCTGTTAAATTATGGGAATTTCATTCATTTTGTAAAAAGGGCTCTAAACTAGGTTCATCAGTTTCTGTGAAATGCCCTCATCCCCCTCTCCACCATGATCCCAGGAAACAGCAGAGGCAACAGCAACATCTTCACAGAAGCCCCTAAAGCCATCTCAACGTCTGCATTTAAAATAAGGAGCAAGGACAAAAAAATTAAAAAATAAAAAAGTCACTGCCAATGTCAGCCAGGTTGAGAATTCACCACTAGGAAGATCTCATTAACTATCTTTTTTTTTCACCTGTGACAGACATTGACAAATACAGAGGCACTTTTCTCTTCTCCTGAATGTGACCTTTAGTGATGCTTGCTACCAGCTCTCTAAGGTGCCCGCTATATTACCTTCAGGTCGAAAATGAGCTCCGTCAATCTCCAGGTTTTCCAAAGGCACAACAGGTTACAGCGGACTTCCCTTGTGCTCCTGACATCATTTGGGGGAGAAGGAATAAAATGCATCTTCATGAGGTGTTTCTCACTAGCAAAACCGCATTTTAGTGCTTACGTGTTGATACCCTGCACCAAGCTTTGGTGGCGAATTTACTTCCTTCTGTTGAACGCCCAGATAGCGCGTCCACACACACACACACACACACACACACACACGCCCCACACACTTCCCTTTTCCTTACAGACAGTGGCCACGGGGGTTTGTCTTTTCATCTCAAGCTAGCACAGTCTTCTCTGGCGGCCCTTTGGCGAGCCCTGTAAGCCGCCGGCGCCTTCCATCTTTCTCCCCAGGCCCTGCTCCCGAGTTCTGCTCCTGGGCTCGGCGGGCCATCCGGCCGCTGATTGGGCTTCCTGCCTATCCTCTTGGCCCTGTTTTCTCGGGGCTCACCTTGATGATGTTCAGAAACGTGTCTGGTTCGTGTGCGTGCAAAAACACTCCGGGGCACATTCCCCACGAGGGCATTGCAGTCGCAATAGCCTCTGAACTTTGAAGCGGCGGCCGGGTACCAATTAGAGGCGGCGAGCGCGGGGCGCGCCCCCGGGCGCTGTGGTTACATAAGCGCCGGGGGCGCCCGCCTCCGCCCGCTGCGCAGTGCCGGCCGCCCGGACTGACACAGGCAAGACAGATGCGTCCCGAGCCCCGCTGGTATCAAAATATATTTGCTGGCCTTCCCAAGGTCATCGTAAACACTCTTGTTGATAGTTATGCGTGCCGTGTACGTAAAGCAAGCCACTTGATTTTAAATTACAGATTCTGCCCCAGAAGCTTGTTGCTGTCAGCTGAGTTAAAAGCCGCGAAGGAAAAAATGCTACAGCGCTGCAGATGTAGCCCACAGGCTTTGGCCGATCAAGTCTATATTTATGTCTTGAAATGGATAAGAAACTTGATTCTGTGGCTCACTCTTGCTTACTTGGCCCGATGCTTTCCTGCAGTGGGAGAGGCAGAATCACAATGTGTGAGCTAATGCGCCGGTGAAAATGTATTCATATTTAAAGGAGCTGAGGGGCATGGCTTTTGTTTGCGCTCTTGAGGCTTCTAGAATATTTAATATGCTCAATTAAAACTGAGCAGTCTCTGTGCTTGTGTAAATGTTCACGTCCTTTCTACAAGCCAAGGATGTGTTGTTACTCTCACGTGACATAGAATAACACAAAGCCAGTATAGGGTGGATATCCTAAAAGTCCTGAGAACTGGCAGCTCTTTCCAGGTCTGCTAATGTGTTCATTTCAAGAATACTTAAATATTTAAACCAGGAAAGCCCAGTATCGATTATTTTGATCCTTAGAGTAATCCTGTGACTTAGGTGCTAGATGAAGAAACAAAGGTACCCATGGGATTGATTTAATTTGCCCAAGGTTCATAGTTATGGAGGGGAGAACCGGGATTCTAACTCAGGCTGTCAGCTCCCCAGTCCATGCCTGTAACCATCACCAGGCACTGCTGTGTACTTGGTAAAAGTCTTGGGCAAATCTTTTGCTCTTTGGGCCCAAAAGTTATCTTTTAAGAAGAGACAGGGGCTTCCCTGGTGGCGCAGTGGTTGAGAGTCCGCCTGCCACTGCAGGGGACACGGGTTCGTGCCCCGGTCCGGGAAGATCCCACATGCCGTGGAGCGGCTGGGCCCATGAGCCATGGCCGCTGAGCCTGCGCGTCCGGAGCCTGTGCTCCGCAACGGGAGAGCCCACAACAGTGAGAGGCCCGCGTACCACAAAACAAAAAAAAGGAAGAGGAAAACTCTCATTTCAGCAAACGGATTTTTGTGATGGTTATGAGAGAATATTTTTTGCAGCTATTTGAATAATTTACAGATCGAGAATGAGGGATTATTGTCATTGTTTCAAGATAATGCCCCAGCGGACGTTATAGAAATTCTCTCTCTAAGGATGAGTGTGTGGGAGAGAGTTATGACAGGACCTCCGTAGCCCCATCCACTGATGGCAATATAGTGTATGAAGAAAACTCCAACTGGGGCCATTCTGCTAAGCAGATGACTCTCAGGTGAAAAATCATCCCTTAATTTGGGCCCTCCCTGCTGGTATAGTCACTCATGTCGCAGGCACTGGAAATGCAGCGGTCATGGGCAGGCACGCACAACACGGCCAGCACAATTTAATTTGGCCCTTGGCATCAAGAGTTTGAAGTCAGTTGTCAAGCCTGAATATTTCAAAACAACCCAGAATAATTCAAATATTCTGTCCCAATGGCCCCACAAAATAAATCCATACTTTTTAGCCCAAGAACTACTTTTTTTTTTTTCTGCAGAAAATATGGCCACTGAAAATTTGGCGACAGGCAGGACCAAGGTGATGCATTCAATAGCACAGATTAAATATTTCCTCTTACATTTTTGAAATGGTTTGTTTCACTGTGTGTTTTTCTGGTTCCCTTCCTCCACGGGAGGCTAAACGTGTTCAGTATAAGTTATCCTTGTTATGTCCCTGAGATAGATGTTTCCATAAACTGCTTCACAGATGAAGAAATGTGGGTTGTATTTGACAGTCCTTCGTATGATTTGAAAATGAAAAAGAGAGTGTGTGTTTAAGATATTTTTGATGAGAAGATCCAAAGAACCCCTGCACTCTTTGCTCGTGCAGCCATAGGAAGATGAAACGGCTTTAACCAGGTCCACTCTCTTCCTGTGTCCGCAGTGAAGCTTCCAAGCAAACCATACACATGCTCAGGGCACTGACACACACACACACACACACACACCAGTCAAGACAGAAAAAATAAAATTTTAAGTATTCTATATTTAAGACTTGAAAACATTTGAAATTGTCCCTGTGTGCAAAATCACTCATCTGGAGGACTTATGCACACATAGTTTATAATCTTGTATACATGTTTTTATTTTGAGTTGCAATTAGTTGAAGGCAGGGGGAGGGCATAATCTTTTCAGAGCAACTTTCATCTGAACCTGGACGTGGCTAATCTTCCTTAGAGGAGTTCACATTCAGCAGAATTGCTCTATGAGCAACTTTTGACTATGGGAATGTAAATCTTGCACTAAGAACTGGGGTCAGTACACCAGTCCCAACAGCTGGGGACTCTATTCTTTATCTAGATCCTCAGTAGGTTGGGCCATTAAGAGAAAGGTTTTCAGTAGGGAAGTCCAATCACAAGATTTCTTGTTCTGTAAAATGGTTTATATTGTGGCCACGTCAACAAGCACCCACAATTTTTGATCAAAATATTTCAGGTGGGGGGCTTCCCTGGCAGCGCAGTGGTTGAGAGTCCACCTGCCAACGCAGGGGACACAGGTTCATGCCCCGGTCCGGGAAGATCCCACATGCCGCGGAGCGGCTGGGCCCGTGAGCCATGGCCACTGAGCCTGCGCGTCCGGAGCCTGTGCTCTGCAACGGGAGAGGCCACAACAGTGAGAGGCCCGCGTATCATAAAAAAAAAAAAAAAAAGTTTCAGGTGTAGGGTAAATGTCTGAGCTGTTCAGGGATTCCATGGTTCTTTAATAGCAGAGTTAGAACTTTAACTAGACTTTTCCATTCCAAGGCTAACACATAAGCCAACGGTGTTCAGAACCTTGGGGCTGAGGGACGATTTAGTTTATTTTTATGCTCAGAAACTACATGGTTATAGGTGGACTTGGGATGAGACTTGTAGATGATCAAGTCACCTACCTTCTAGAACCATCATTTTTTTTTTCTCCCAGCAACCTCTCACTGGGGACCCTGGCCTTCCTGGACATAGATTGGCAACCACTCCATTGAATATAGTCTTTTTCATTAACCCATGTTGCTAGTTGACCAATCATTGCCAATTTTGGCCAACACAGTGTTTATATTGAAGAAATTTGTTCTCTACTTCCTAGTCTTGTTTCAGTCTTTATATCAGCAGTTGTTAAGGTCAAAACAAGCACAGCATGCCTTTCAGGGATGGCTCTTGTGTTTGGGAGTCATCTAAGCTGCCTGCTACATCCATATACAAACATCTCCAAATCAAGCTAATATTATTGGCTCAATTCATGAAAAACACCCGACATCTGTTCGACAAATGAAAATACGATCAGAGTTTTTCAGATTGTGATCAGATTGCTCACTAACAGTCCATAACGAGCCATTGCCATGTCTTGGGTACCATGTTTCTGAGGAGAGACAGCCCCTCCATCAGGGAATGGAGGGAGAGAAGGAATCTTGGGAGAGAAGAAGAAGAGCTTTTCTTTATTAGCTTTGCCAATAGTCATCCAACGTTCTCTATAACTGGAAAGGTTTTCTTCTGCTTTCTTGCAGCTCTTGTACTTTCTGCTGAGCGCCCTTGGCCTGACGGTCTGTGTGCTGGCCGTGGCGTTCGCCGCTCACCACTATGCACAACTCACACAGCTCACCTGTGGAACCACGCTCGACTCCTGCCAGTGCAAACTGCCCTCCTCCGAGCCCCTCAGCAGGACCTTTGTGTACCGGGATGTGACTGACTGTACCAGCATCACTGGCACTTTCAAACTGTTCTTACTCATCCAGATGATTCTGAACTTGGTCTGCGGCCTTGTGTGCTTGTTGGCCTGCTTTGTGATGTGGAAACACAGGTACCAGGTCTTTTACGTGGGTGTCAGGGTGTGTTCCCTGACAACTTCCGAAGGTCAGCAGCAAAAGGTCTAACATTCTTGTTCAAAGGTGGGAAAGCAAACAGCACCCTAACTAGCTGAGATTTTTTTTAAAAAGGATAAAAAGAGAAAGAAAATGAAGAAAAAATGAAATTTGACAATAACTAATATTCACTGTTCTAAATGAATATTTTTATATTTTTCAGGAAATGAAAGAGCATTTCTTCAGGTTTCCATAGTATTTTTTTTTTAATTCTTAAGATCTAAACTGACTTTGGGATATTAAAAGAGCACGGTACAGGGAAAGAATGGTATAGTTCTATCTTTAAAGTCTGGAGTCTATTCCTAATACTCATGTTACCTATTACTGATATAATCTTCTTTCCTGTTAGTCCAGTTTGATTTGGACAGTTTCAGACCCACTTGCTAAATTTTGTAGGATCTTCCTCCAGGCCTTTCCCCGCTCCCACCGTGATCCTCACTACGACTCCCAGAAAAGCAGGGGGCAGGAGGAGGGGGAAAGCTGAACAGCCAGTGTGTCTTTCTCTATTTTCCCTGGTAGAGATGTCTTCAAGGCATGAAACAGCTTAAAAGAGCAGAGTAGAAAAGGAAGAGACTTTGCAAAAGGCTAAATAATTACAAACACCTGGGTTGGGGCCCCTGGCCTTTTTCCTCTGCTCCCTGATTTCGGATCTGTAAATAGATCACTTAGTGAATGCTTTGGGCGATTGCTTCTCAGTAACTGAAAGCTGGTGGTAGTTGTATTCTTAACGATATAGAAGGTTTAAAAATAATTACATTATGCTTCTATTCTGTCATCTAAAACAAATCATTAAAACTAATTTCTAGCTAATGGTTAATTATAATTATGCTCAGAAGTCTATTTAATGAGCCCTGGCTGTACTTACGTGGCACTGTCGGGATTTGGAGAAATTACTATCACAAGAGAGAAGGCTTAAAGATTCTTTCTTCTGAAAGCCAAGCTTTACAAGGGAGAAAAAAAAATTTTTTTTTAATTAATAGCTCAGGTTAAAAATACTCATTTAAATGAAAACGAGAGCATTTGTAATGGGAAATGTTTATACAAATAGCACATTTGTGATACGTTGTAAAGTATCTCTCTTGGCAGCTAAGTACTGTTGACGAAGATTGAGTAATGCTGAGGTGTCCCATTCATGAAATTATATTTGATATGTAATCTTATTATTGATTTGTATGCACAGTCAACTAGAGCCTTAAACTAATGTTTTCTGAGGTCATTATTTGAACATTTGGCCATTGACTTGGAGGGTAATTTTTGGTTTTGTTTTGAAGTGACTGCGACTTAAAAGAGCACAACTACTCTATGGTGGGAGACTTTTCTCTCTAGTTATTGTTATCAATGAATTTGGAACAATATCAATGTTTTAAGGAAGGAGCTCAAAATGCAAATTCATGTAGCATAAATGTTACCAAAAACTTTCTCTATTAGTATGCTCTGTTGAAAGCAGAAATTCAAGATAATTGAGCTTAATTTGCTTCTCCATATTGCCTATTGATATATTTTACTAATCATTAAACCCTACTCTAAAAAAATAATTTCCTTGTTTGCCTTAAGAGGTATATGAATAATTCCATCGATTGTGACAATAGTGTCGATTATTACATGATATGAATATCCATATAAAAAGGGAAATGTTAAGTTAGTTGGAGGATTGTAAATATATTTTATGCCCTCCAGATAAAACACCTGATTAACAGATGTTAAAACCTTTTTATGTATTGACTTGCTTTAAAAATGGCCTTCCTGGGGCTTCCCTGGTGGCACAGTGGTTGAGAGTCTGCCTACCGATGCAGGGGACACGGGTTCGTGCCCCGGTCCGGGAAGATCCCACATGCCGCGGAGCGGCTGGGCCTGTGAGCCATGGCCACTGAGCCTGCACGTCCAGAGCCTGTGCTCCGCAACGGGAGAGGCCACAGCAGTGAGAGGCCCGCGTACCGCAAAAAAAAAAAAGGCCTTCCTACACACTAGCTCAGGCCAAAAATGCACCTCAGGGGCTTAATGGATGATTCTGGAGCAGCGGTTTAATACACAAAAATTACATCAACACACACCAAGCCTCCCGATGATGACCTAAAAAAATACTTTGTACCCTGTTAAAAAAATTCCAATAACTGTATCCATTTTGATTTTGACAGTTTCCTACAAAAGAAAATGACTGCTAATCTGTGGGCTCCTTTTTAAAGAGTGAGAAACCAGTGCTTTAATGCTAATTACTATGAATAAGTCACCATTGGAATCACACCCTGAATACCTTGAACAATTTTTTATAGCAAACACTACAAATTTTTCTATCAGAAAATTAAATTCTACACAACACTAAGGTGCTCTATGCTTTACAAGCGATTCACAGAGTATTTCAAATGGTAGAGTAACTCTAGCTTATGTGCTTCCTTTTTCTAAATAATGCAACCGGTAAGAACTGACATGGTGATAAGCTTGGTAATAATCAGGAGATATATATATATATATGTGTGTGTGTGTGTGTATATTATATATACACACACACACATATATATAATGTGTATATATATACACATTTTATATATATACATAAAATGTGTATATATAATGGGGATTTTGCTATTGTGTGCTTGAATCATTCTTAAATCCCTAAAGAGAGAAAAAATTCATAAGTGAAGAAGAAACAAGAAATAAAATGAAAAAATTAAAAAGGAAAGAAAGAAAAGATTTCTGTGCTGCAAACTCACTGTGTATTGATACATGTGAGAATTGTGTTGCATGAATAACAAACTGCTTTGGGCTGGATTTGAAGCATTTTGAGGTTGTGTTTTGCAAATATTGAAGTTACAGGAATGGCAACAGAAAAGGAACAGATACCGAGCTTTACACTTAGCAAAATGTTACATTTGAAATCTGACAAGGTGCCAAGATGGTGACTGTCTCTTCTAAACCATAAAACAGTAAGATTTGCACAATCCTCCTTCTCTTCCACCTCCTTCAGGAGAATTAAATGAATCAAGACTTTGGAAAGAAGGCAAACAGCCGGGACTTGGCAGCACTTGAAATAGGAGGAATACAGCAGCCTAAGTGTGCAGACTTTGTAACTGAGCCCACCCAGTCGGTCTGTGCCTTCACGTGACCACCATCTGTGCCTCCCTCGCTCCATCCAAATTTGTGCAGGCAGATCGTTGGAGCCATTCCTAAAAATATAGCTACACCAGGCCCTAGAAACTGTAGTCAAGTAACAGGCCTAAGTTTTTTCCTTCCTTGAGTGAAACCTCCATAAGATCTCTTTTAAGGGGCTTTCAGCTGCAGACATCAGTGTGTTCTGACAGCGAGAACCCGTTATGTGTTTTCTATTTGTATCCAGGACATTAGAATCTGTTCACATTCTCATACTTCCTCTCTTGCATGCAGTATATCTGGAATATGTTTATAGGTTTGTTTAGTAAAGGGTGGGGTGGAGGGTATCCGAGGGAGATTCCAGGGGACAGTGGTGGATCGGTTAATGATGATCAGAAATGAACTGAAAAGTTGCCCTGAAAAACTAACTGCATCCTATCGTGAAGCATACCTTTACATTTTCTAGTGACTGTCGCTGAACCATTGCTGTGCAGCAATACACACAGCCTGTGAATCAGGCTGGCCCTCAGTTCTTACTGTACTCAAAGAACTTGATCATATTTTTAGATGTACGCTGTGTTTTCAGGGTAGTGTTACAAAGAGCTGATGGCCACATATATTGACTCACCGTGGAAACGTTCATTTGGATAAAGGTTCAGTGGTTCAGCCTGTGAACTGAATACCTTGATTGGTTTCTTCTAATTTTCTAGTATTTTATTATCTCAAACAATTATTCCCTTTGAAAATATTGGTCTGTACTTTGGTGTTGCAGTTTTCTTCTTCTGGCATTGAGGGTATAATGAGTAGAAAACAAAGTGTTTCCTACACGTTTGAGGTGGTTGTTTTTAAGGGGGTGTGTATACTGAAGATTTTCTTTGTTAATAAAATTTTCATAATCTCTGAAATCTTGTTTGGATGCGTTTTAAGGTGATGGTACATTGCACATGAACTGGACTACATAACATCTCTCAACTTAGTGTTTACAGAAAAAAATCTGGGTTTGGAATAGACAAGGACCAATATGCATTTTGACTCCTTTGTGCCAGGGGCTGTCTCTCTTTGGGTACATTGTCGAAGTCAAGGTTGTAAATGCTCCCCAGCCAGAGGGAGCCTGAGCTGGAAAAAAAATTTTGCAGAAGATGCTCTGAATGCTGATTTTACACCTATTAATATCAAGTAAAGCTTGGCCTAAAGAATGGGATACATGTCGAATGTTACGTGCGCAGTCATATTCGACATCGAATTATATGGAAAAACAGACAGCCTATTCCATTTCAAATCTGAAAACAAGGGCTCCTTCTTACCAACTCTGAGGCAATTTAAATAGTTGACTCTACTGTAAAATGCAGTGGCTCTTTTTCTCTAATTTAGTTAGAAAAGCTTGTAGAGTGCCAAAGGAAAGGGATAACGATTTAGGACACATGCTCTGAGCTGGACTTCCTATCCTCTGTCCTAAGGCTGCAGGTCCTAGGCTTGGAAATGTGACTCCCACTTTCCAGCTATGTGACTTCGGACAAACCATTTAGTCCTCAGTCTCCTCATTTGTAAAGTGGAGAAAAGTGGAACTACCTCACAGCCTCATGGGAAAGGTTAAATTAAATAGCACTTAGCAAAGTGGCTCATAGCAGTGGCTTGATAAATATTTGGTTTCCTCCTTCCAGCTGGGTTCTACATAGCCTTCTCATTGACGCCGGCTCCAGCCCCCACATCCAACTAGAAAAGTGTCTCTGCATTGCTATCCCCTTCTGGGACTTCCTTTTTATAAGCCAGAAACTTTATCAAATGGACCTCAAAGAGAAATTCTGCTTTTAAAATAAGATAGTACCAATCTTTTTCTTTTTTCTTTTTTTTTTCCTGTACGCGGGCCTCTCACTGTTGTGGCCTCTCCCGTTGCGGAGCACAGGCTCCAGACGCGCAGGCTCAGCGGCCATGGCTCACGGGCCCAGCCGCTCCGCGGCATGTGGGATCTTCCTGGACCAGGGCACGAACCCGTGTCCCCTGCATCGGCAGGCGGACTCTCAACCACTGCACCACCAGGGGAGCCCAAGATAGTACCAATCTTGCTGACGATGTGCATGGAATCATGTGCTGGCTGGATCCTTATTTGTTGGTTTACACATCTGGATGTTTCTTGAATGTGGCCACCTTCTCTGAGCTCTTCTCTCAGGCAGAAGTAGAAGCTGAGACAGTTCTGATTTTCATAGCCCTTTGAATTTAATGTAACAGAAGCGTGTTTAACCCCAACTTTTAAAAGTGATGCTTTATTGAGCTTTGGTACATCATCCGTCTACTGCATGTTAGGTTGAAACATACAATCCCTCATTTATTTAAAAACCAGCCATCAAGCACCTTTAATATGCTTGACTCTGTGGATCACTGATTCTCATCCAAGAATCATAAAAGGGTTTACTTTTGAATATAGTCAGAAAATACCAGCTGGAACTTCATTCTCCAGGCTGGGTAGGAAAACACTCATATGAATTTTTAAATTGGTGGCAAATTTAATTATTAAAACACTACAGCCAGAAATCTACTCTTTCCCTTGACAGGGTCTATCTGTCTTTGTAGTTCATGACAAATTGTTATAAATTATTTTTTCATTTGACAGATTCATCTTTAATAAGGTAGTATTTATGAAGTGCAGGACTAATATCAGCTATTGCACTTTTAAAATTCAGATTGTAAGCAAATGAAAATAAAACTAATACATGGGGATGATGCCAGCTTGGAGACAACAGTTCATTCTTCTATTTCTTTCCAACAGATATCTATATGTTTATTGATCCCTCCCAAAGCATGGGTTTTAGAGGAAGTCTTTTCTTGTTTGGAAAGGTCATCAGAAAGATCCCGTGGGATGTATACTCAGCTGTTATTCTTGGGGAAAAGCAGATACTAGGGCAAGAATCCAAATACACGATTTCAACTGAGACATGAAGCCTTTTGTTTAACAAGACCCTGTGATTGGGGCGAGGGGTGGGGGGAGGGGGGTGGGGAGGTCTGGAGATTCATTTGTGGGACCTGTGCTGCTTCTTCCTCTTCCACATGGATCTTGCTGGAGAAGGAGGTAGGGGTCCCTGGGATGCTGCTGCCAGGAATAGTGGAGGAGGCTTGGACAGTGCCTGAGGAGGGGCTAAACAATGAGATGTCAGCGGGCACTTTGGGGTCTCTGAACCTGGACACTTTGGAGACATCTCTCTCTGGGTGGGGTGCACTGTCTACTCTGTTTGGCTTTCTACCCAGACCCTTCTCCCCAGAAACTCAGTGTGTTGTCTTTCTGACCAGGTGTCCTTGTAGAGAGCAAGAGGATGTTTCTCAAGGACCACAGGAAGCAGTGGCACTTGTGACCAGAGAAGATGATTGTAATCTCATGAAACCCACTCCCAGCTCTTCTCCCTACATCTTCCTAGGCATGTGTTTAATAGACTATTGGTACCCGGGGCGGGTGTGAAAGTGGTGCACCAGCCAGAGGGAACGGTCAGGTAGAGGGACCAGAGTCTGAAAATTATGGGATTAAAGTTATCACTAGCCTCAATGGATTATTTTTACTTCTCTTTCAGTCAGGATAGAATTCACATATTCTTACAAAATAGGCAATTTTCCCACAGATACCTTTATGGGTAAGAGTAGACTTACAATTTTTTATTAAAACTTTTTTCTAGATTGCAACAAAAGTGACCAAAGGATGGTTATACAACTGAAAGGAGAGAGAGAGCGTATTTATTTTAATATAGAGAAGTTTAGAATGTGG